GTGATATGAACTAAGAGATATGCATTTCTTTTCTTCCCAAATCACCCAATCTGAAAGGGCTAAGAGAAGTACCTGCAGAGTCATGTTATATGCATTCCACAACAGCATATCATGTTGAAATAAATCAAAAAGAAGCCCTGCAGCATCACACGAGTGATAAATGATAATGCAACAAAAACAATACATTTCATCATATTCAATTAGATACGTCAACATCATTAAACTTTTCCTTCTACAAATATTTCCATAGCATTTATACCTCAGATCACCTTAAAAGAGTGGCCCGGACAACTATCCACTCTTTTTTCTTGACAGAGCACATATGAGCCAAGCGGAATTCTGCATCAAACCAGCTCTGCAGTGTGCCCATTTGAGGCTGGTAATATATATGTGAGACTAGTCAATTGCCAGGAAATGGAATATCCAATAAATAATATTCAGACAACTTTTACTTCCCTAAACATGCCAAAAGTTCTTCTAAAAATACAGCATGACTCTCTAAAGGTAGTATTCTCATGCTTTGTTTTGTTAATCTACATTTTCAAGATTTGACAGCATTTGTGACTATTTTGCCAAGTAGCGTAGCCAATTTTAATCATCAAAAATAATAAATGTTTCCTATATTATAGTGCTTAAGCATTACTTCCAAGAGCATCTCTCTTTCAGTGTAAGTGTTGCCTTCCAGTGCTTAAACACGAATCAGATTGTTAGGTTCAAATGACTTACGAGTTCAAATGAAGGGCAGGTGCCGGTATAGATACCGATATGGGTATGTCAATATGCTAAAATCTAAAGAAAGTAATGTGTTACTAGGATACATCAAATATTTATTTATTTATTTATTTTAAAATTTATAGCTAAACATTCCACTTACAAATATTTGTTTATTTATTTTAAAATTTATAACTAAACATCTCACTTACAAATCAAAGTTTAAAACAATAGCTAAAAAGAGAAATTACAAAACCAAAAATAAATCAATATTCAAAAATACCAATACAATACTAAAGTAAAGACCCCGTTTGGTAGAGCTGTGGAAAAATGATTATAAATTATACCTTAACATATTATAACTTATAACTGTGAACATAAGCTGTTAACATGTTTGGTACAGCTATGGGATTATGAATTTAAGTAGCAGAATAGTATTTGGTTGATAAGCTGTAAAATAACTTTTTGTTGTATAATTGTCATTTTTGCCCATATATGATATAAAAATGATTATTTTATCATTTTTTTTCAATTTTAATTTTAAAAAAGTTATTTCATTAATAAAAATTAATATAATTAGTATTACAAAAATTATTATTTTCATTAACAGTATCAATTAGTATAAAATTATTTTATTTTTTCATTATAAATTAATTAGTGTTAATTAATGGCTTAATTAGCATCAATGCTTCTTTTTTCTTTTTTTTTTTCTTTTTCTTCATTTCTTTTTTCTTTTTCTCCTTATTTTCTTTTTCTCCATAGTATTAATGTTGTGGTGTCATTACATTATTTTTCTTTATATTAATTTCAATTAGTTATTTAATAGAAGTTATATTAATTTTATTTTTTTAATTTAGTGATATTTCATTTTTTCATTTTATTTAGTGATATTTCATTTTTTTTCATTTTTGGTAATTCATTTATTCATTTGACAAATCCTTTCATTTTTTTCAATTTATATCATTTTTTAGTGATATTTCAATTTTTTCATTTTTAGTAATTCATTTATTCATTTGACAAATCCTTACATTTTTTTTAGTTTATATCATTTTTTTTAGTGATATTTCATGTTTTCATTTTTAGTAAAATTATTTCATTTTTTCATTATAAATTCATTAGTGTCAATTAATGGCTTGATTAGCATCAATTAATACTAAAATTGTTAATTAGTATAAATTAATATAAAATTTATTTCATTTATTTCATTAATATAAAATTTTTAATTAGTATCAATAAATTAATTAGTATCAATTAATGACTTAATTAATATTATGATTTTTAATTAATTATTATTATTAGTATCAATAAATTTATTTCATTTTTAATTAATTATTATTATGATTTTTTAATTAAAAAAACACTGAAAACCTCCACAAAAAAAAAAACCCACACTGAAATCCATCGCCGGAGACGAACCAACGCCGAAGAGAGAGAGAGAGCAGCAGCAGCAAAGAACCAATGCCGGATGACGACGGACGGTTGATCGTCACCATTGATCGTCACGCAATTGATCGTGACTCTAGGGTTTTAGATCACGATCGTCACGCAGTCGATGGTTAGGGTTTCGATCACTAAGAGAGAGAGAGAGAGAGAGAGAGAAGAGAGATCTGGTTCGTGAGTGTGAAAGAGAAGGAGAGCACTGGTTCATGAGAGAGAGAGAGAGAGAGAGAGAGAGAGAGCACCGATGCGTTGACCGCCAAAATCGCCTCTCTCTCTCTCTGAGAGAATGAACAGTGATGCTTGGTGGTTTATATAATGGTATTTTGATAATACTTCAAATTAGTAAAAGGCAATTAAGTAATTTTGCCCCTCAATTTGTAGCTTCCTGCTTAAGCTGAATGAGCAAGCACCCCGGAGGCCACTTAGCCAAAAAGCACTTTTTTGGCTGAATTTAAGCTACAAAAAATGATTTTAAGTTTCACCAAACACACCAAAACAACTTAAAATAATCTAAAAGCTGAGTTAAGCAGCTTTTAAACTCTACCAAACACCCTGAAAATCTTGAACCTGATGAACTCATATTTCTATAACCATTAAGACAATAATTTGTGAATTCTTTCACTTCATTCAAGTATATAATTTTCAACTATTTAAATAACAATTTAAAAACATCAATATTATGAAAGTAACAATGAAACATCAATATAATTTTTAATATTCCTATAAACATCAACAAAAGAAAAATTATTTTATATAATTCTAATTATCTACTAAGTATACAACAATGAGTAGAAGAGGGAAAAATTACTTAATAATAGTGTAAAGAGTTGGTAGTTCCAAATTACTTAAATTTTTTGAAGATGATTAAAGAGGAAAAAGGTTGTAAACTTGAATCAAATTCCAACTTCTAAAAAATAAAACTTTTAAAAAAAATCAATTGTTGTGGAGTACCCACCCTGTATCCATGGAGTACCCACTGCGTACCCACGATGTATCCATCTTCCCCAAACCGTATACGGTGTACCCAGTACACTTGCATCCGTATCAAAATGTGTACCCGCACCCAGTAAGTATCCAGTACTTATATGGCAACATTTTTGGAAAACACTGAAAGAGAAATGAATAAATCTCAAAGTGACTCAAAACCTTTGAATAGAATCAATAACTCAAAAATTTCAACAAACATTTCAAGATTACCTTTTTCCCAATCAATTCAAGCCCTGAAGCAAAATTCTCCAATTGAGCACTTCCATACATTTCTCTTTGAAGATATTCCTGCAGTAAGATATTATACACTTAGACAAATACACACTTAGACCTTTTAGCAAACAGTTGATGAGCTCTTAGAAGCTGTAATGTGAATTGCAAATGTTGCAAATGTTCTGTCCATGTACTGCTATAAACAAGTATGTCATCAGAAAATACCAATATAAATCTTCATAGATGTGGTCTAAAAACTTCATTCATGAGACTCTGGAAGGTAGAAGGGGCATTGGTCCGCCCAAAGGCCATCACCAACAATTCATAGTGCCCATCATGAGTCCTAAATGTTGTTTTTGGAATATCGGGGGAATGAACTCTAATTTGGTGATAACCAGCCTGTAGATCCAATTTAGAGAAATGTTTGGCCCCCCACAGTTCATCCAAAAGGTCATCGATTGTTGGAATCGAAAATTTATCCTTTACAGTAGCTCTGTTCAATGCCCTCTAATCCACACACATTCTCCAATTTCCATCCTTTTTCTTCACCAACAATACAGGTGATCAATAAGGACTTGCACTAGTTTGGATAATCCCAGATTGAAGCATTTCTTTGACTTGCTTTTCTATCTCAGATTTCTGGAAATAAGGATACCTATAGGGCCTTGTATTGGTTGGTTCAATTTCAGGCTTGAGTGGTATGTGATGCTCATGAGGCCTCACTGGAGGAAGATGTTTTGGTTCTTGGAATACATCACCATACCTGCCCGAAATGTCCTTCCTGGCTATCCACTTGCAGAGAGAAGACTTCAGCTACAACTCCTTGTGCCTGTTTTTGGAGAAGTTTCTGCACCTTCCTAGGGCCAATGACTGTCAATTCCTCCTTACCAACCCTTAAAACATGTTTTCTTCCATTCAAGCGAATTCCATGCTCAAGTTCTTGAAATCCCACTTGGCTGGTCCTAATGTTACCAACCATTGAATACCTAAGACCATGTCACACCCTTTGAGTTGCAATACCCTCATATCAGCCTGAAAACTGGTGCCTTGCATTTCCCAATTGAATCCATTGCATACAGCTGTGCCCATCAACTTAGTTCCATCAGCTACTGATACTGGAAGAGGATCTGTAACTGTAGCCTCTATTCCTGACCTTTTAACCACATCTGGGCTTATGAAATTATGGTTGCTACCTGAATCTATAAGGATTATGATTAATCTTTTCTTGACATTCCCTCTTACCCTCATAGTCATGTAGGAGACTGAACCAGATAAAGCATTAATTGAAATCTGCAGCTCCTCTTCTAGAATATGTACTTCCTCTCCCCATCTTGTTCTTCTTCTTCGTCTTGGTCTTCTATTTCCCCTTCCATAGCATACAACTGCTTTCTTTTGCAGATACGGCCTCTTGTATACCTTTCATTACATTTGAAACACATGCCTTTTGCCCTCTTTTCTGCCAACTCCTTGCGTAATTCTCTTCGATTAGGGGCTATGGAACTCACCATCTGGTTAGGCCTGGACAAACTAGATGATGGAGTTTCTGCCACCCTAAACCCTTGTCTAGATCTCTTGGCAATGGTTTCAATACTGCTCTCTTGTAACTTGGCCAATCCAATAGCCTGGTTGATGCCAGTGGGTTTTCTTGTTCTTCTTCTTGGTCTTGGTCTTCTATTTCCCCTTCCATAGCATACAGCTGCTTTCTTTTGCAGATACGGCCTCTTGTATACCTTTCATTACATTTGAAACACATGCCTTTTGCTCTCTTTTCTGCCAACTCCTTGCGTAATTCTCTTCGATTAGGGGCTATGGAACTCACCATCTGGTTAGGCCTGGACAAACTAGATGATGGAGTTTCTTCCACCCTAAACCCTTGTCTAGATCTCTTGGCAATGGTTTCAATACTGCTCTCTTGTAACTTGGCCAATCCAATAGCCTGGTTGATGCCAGTGGGTTTAAACATCAATACCCCAGCCTTGATATCATCCCTTCAGCCACTAATGAAGCAACTAATGAAGAAGGTTTCTGGCAAATTTGGTAAGCCCTAACAGATGTGACTTGCCTTAACTTCGTTAAATCCCCCATCTCATCTTCATAGGAATTAGGGCCAAATCTGGAAACTACTCCCTCTTTGAATGTGTTCCAATTGATTTGATTGTGACATTTCTCAAACCATTGGAACCATTGAAGGGCTTTGTTTTCCAAATGCAGTGAAGCCAATTTTACCCCATTTCCATTTTCAATTGCATTATAATCAAAGAATCTCTTACATTTGTAAATCCAACCCAATGGATCTTTCCCACAGAATTTGGGAAAATCAATTCTAGTATAACGAGTTTGAAATTGATTGAATGATTCAGGGTTTTGAACCCATACCTGAGATGTTTCCTCGATCTCTTGATGAGACTCATAAACCCTAGATGCCACCTGATCGTATTTGATGCTCATTGCTGTGATCATCTCTTTGATTTCATTGATATCGTTCATTGATTTCTTGATATCCCTAATATCCTGTGCTTGCTTTTCGCCATTCTCTTTGAGAGATCGAATTGCCTCCTCCATTATTTTTTATTCCTACTGCCTAGTCCCATCTGCCATTTCTTGATTTCTTTCACAGGACGAGAATGCCTGCTCTGATACCAATTTTACAACTATGGAAGAAGAAAGCTAAAATGGAAAATAGAAAGAAAAAGGGAATATAAACAGAGCTCTCTCTCTCTCTCTCTCTCTCTTATTCCAAACCAAGAAAATATCATATTACAAAATGCATACCTTTCCTCTCTGTAACACAGCTATCTATAGCTAGAATCAACTCCTAACCGTCTAACTGAACTAACAAACTCTCCCTCGAAACAAAATCAAAAATTGGTTACAACTAAATCACAATGAGCTAAAGAATAACCAATTTATTTCTAGAACATTACATTAGGGAAAAGAAACTATCCCAAGAATCTAGGCTATAGTTTGTCTGAATCTGTCGTTGAAGGTTCATATTCCGTTCCAGATCTGAGCAGAAGCCTCACCTGAGAATAAAGGAGAAAGATCAACATTAGAAGAAAACTGTTACGGTATTAACCATCTTGCAGAAAGAGGAAAGAGGACCCTCAAGTTTAGCGATCACCTGCGGCAGCAAAAGTAGTACAAAATAAGGTTAGCAATTTAGAATTAAAGGATGGGGATTTGAGAAGTAGATAAGTAGCTGGAACTTAGCCTATCTAGAACTTCTTCCATCAAATACGAGCTTTTTCAGGAAATTAGTTGTCATCTATGTTACATTGCCACTTCCAAATGTATGAAGTACCCGTGTCAAACACTAGACAGTTGGGTAAGGGTATGGGTATGGGATGTGTCCAACATGCAATTGTACATTCATCTAGCAAGCATATTTTTCCATGTCTTGTGCAGATGTGTCCACACTTGCAATTGTATAGCATCTTATGAATACCATTTTACCTTAGAAAATAATACAATATTAAGAAATATAAATATTTTTCCATGTCCCAGTGTTCTTAGACAAGAGATTAGATGAATCAAACACTCATACACATATATGCACCCAATACCCATAGTTGAGTCCATGTTATATAGGTTGTCATGAAGAAACTGTAAAAAGAACATTTCTCACAAGTTGTCATGAAAAAATTGTAAAAAGAACATTTCTCACTTTTAACCTTGTAAACACGCATTACAATATTGTAGAGTTTTATATAAAATTATATTTTGTGATGTTTAATTTTTTACAACTAAACTTTCTTTTTGTTCCAAAGGACAAAACGATACACTTGTAAGTTGTAACACAATACATATATACACACACGCTTACCATCTGCTAATTGTACTTGTGAAACTTGTTGATCTAGTGGACTTGAACAACTTTACAGCAGAGAGTCAGAAGAAGTTTCATCTTTTCTTATTTGGGACAAAAATTAATGAAAATCTGTGAAATTCCTCAAACCCTAAAGCTCGAATATAATCAACCGAGATGATTTAGTTACTTACAAGAATATAGCAAGCTGTTGTCCAGTACCATCTCTGTTGGAAGCATTCCTCAAACAACCTAGAGAACAGAAAAATCAAGAAATCCACTAGCAATACACTTTACACAGTAGGTAAAAGCAGGAAAAAATAAATAAATAAAAAAAGAGAAATTACGTACTCCTTTGATCTTCCGGTAGTAGAAAACAAATCTGCCCAATGTCGGCCATCAATTTCTCATGCAACACTAACAACCACATCAAAATACTTGGGAAATTTTTATTAAATCACAAGTCTTCTCTAAAAGAGAGCAATTGGTACCACGCTTAGGATCTGAGAACTCGTTTTTATTTGCACTCTTGCCTATAAGAAAGTCGTTCAAACCAACCAAAAATTAAAAATTTAACCCATGATCAAGGCATATGGAAAACAAAACGTTAACAGAAAATGTCAGCAGCAGAACTCCCTAACCAAACACCCCTACTCACCCAAAGTGAGGATCCTGATGTAGCACGAGTAGGGATTACTTTCCAACAACTAGTGAGCCCGTTTAAGTATACTGGCAATAGCAACAATAGACTTATAGGGCTGGATTTGGTAAGATTTTGTGGCTGTAAAAATACTTTAAAAAAATAATAAAATAAAATAGGAGTTTAAGGGTTTGTAAAAGGGTAGGATTTTGGGAATGAAAACACAAGTGTTTAGGGGATGTTGGTTGGCTGTCTATGAAGCACGGACACCTCCCCGAGGGCTACGTATCAATGTCGGACACGTGTTAGACACAGACACGCATCGGACACGCAGTTGACACATGTCTAACACGTCGCAGAAGGTGTCCGAATTTTTTTTTGATTTTTTTGCAGCAAGACACATAACGGACACATTTGGATATGTTCGGAACACGTTCAGGGTGAAATTCATAATTTATGAAACTTCTGTGGGGGTCAATTTGTAAAAAGCAAAAACATAACATGTAACCTAATGCTCGTTAATAGACAGAGAGAACGGAGAGAACACCTGGTCGCTTGTGGGTGGTCGTTCGTCGCTCGTTGGTGGTCATTCGTTGGTGGTCGGTCGTCGGTGGTCTGGTATCTAAGGTACAACTTCACTGCTCTTCTACATTCTTATTCTTCTTCGGTCTTCTTCATCTTCTCCGATCTTCTCTCTCGTCTCTCTCAATCGCTCTCAGCCGCTCTCTCTCTCTCTCTCTCTCTCTCTCTCTCTCTCTCGCAGTCGCTCTCTCTCCCTCTCTCTCTCTCTTTTCTGATCTGCTTTGACCTTTTCTTTTCTTTTATTTGATTTTTTTTTCTTTTATATGGTCAGTTTTAGTGTAATTTATCTGTCTCTCTTCTATTTTTTTTTTCTAATTTCATTTTATATTTTCTTTTCTCTCGCTCTGCCTCTCTTATTTTAGTGTATATATATATTATTGATTAGTTTTGTTAATTTTAATAATATGTGTTTATTAATTTTATTATTGGAATTAATTCTTAATTCTGAAACAATGGCTATTACGGGTGGTATTTTTTATTACCTTTCTATGATGATTTTTTATAATTTTATGACATATAATAATAAATTTAATTATATATATTGAACGTGTTCCCAGCGTGTCGTGTCCCCTATTTTTTGAAAATTTGCGTGTTCGCGTGTCCGTGTCGTATCACGTGTCCGTGCAACACAGGTGGCTGTTCTAAGCACTATGAACAGTGAAATAAACGGTAACCATGCTAGAGAGAGAGAGAGGGAGAGAGGGAGAGAGAGAGAGATGCTTCACCCTCACAAGAGATAGGCCAATCATACAAACACAATCTCAAATTTTTATAATAATAACTCTTCTCCTCAATCATTAAGTTACACATATATTTATAGGCTAAAAACTCCTAATTTTACAGGGACTATAATTCAAATTTAGAGAGTAAAAATATTTAGCAACTACTAATATTCTAAAGCAACTATGACTTCCAATTCTACTTCAATCATAATAAGAAACTTTAATGATTTCTAATTTTACTTCAATATCAAAATAGGAAATTTAGACTTTTGACCACTAAAACTATTTTAGACATAATAAAACCCATATGCAATGATCTATTTAATAACTTGACCCAAAATAAAACCCGTGGGTGACCCCTACAATCCATGTCCAACAATTATTGGAATTACCATTATACCATTAATTACTAAAACCTACTATAATGACATGAAAACTCAAAATTATTCCAAATCTTTAATTCTTGATGTCTTAAATGTGCTTCATGTGAAATTTCAAATTTGCTCTTTTTCTTCTTTCCATGATCTTCATCAGATCCTCTAGAGTGATTTTTCTTATAATGATCTTATAGTAATTTTTTTGATGCCTAAGATTTAATTCTACCAAAGTTGAAAGTACAATAACCATTTCACCTTCCAACTCTCAAACCTAACATTATCACTCCATGAAAAATCACTCTAGAGGATCCTGACTCACTTGAGTAACCCGAGACCCCAAGCCAAATATGATATGCCCCCCATCCCAATCACAGCAAGATGGATTACATCTTCCTGATAACAAACATTTACCATACAGCAAGGATTGATCATATACAAGCAACTTCCCCATAAAGAGGGAAAAATTTACCAAACAGTTGCTTAGATCAACAAAAACAGCATCCTCTCAGTTAGAACAGTAATTAGGGTAGTAGAGCTCAGCAGCTCACTCACTTCAGCATCAGTTTAATTTCATTTAATTCCCAGCACCATCTCAACCCAACAAAGCCATTCCATTTTGTTGAATCTTCAAACATGATTTATGACAAACATGAATGATGCTTACAGTCACGAGGCTCAGAATTGGTATAAGTTTTTTAAATTAAATAGAGTCACCTGGAAATTTCAGCATCAAATACTGTAAAAGAAAGCCACTCCTGGCAATGGGAAAATGAGGTTTTGCACTGATAGTTGTGCCAAAAGTAAAGCTTCCTCACTCTTGTCACTCTGGCGAACATGATATTAGAAACAGAATTGGAAATCATGTATAAGAAAGAAGTAAAAATCAGAACACCACAAATATTGTGAATTCACCATGCTACCACAACAAACTTATTACAAAATCTGGTTAAAAAATCACTAAGTAGTACTAAACATATGTTTAAAAAATACAACACTTTTAGATTGATTAATCTTTACATAAAAAAGTGTTAAGAGTTGATGACTTCCTCATGGAATATTACAAAATAATGGGACCCAGTAGTACCTGAAGAAGGAGTCTGAGTAGGTAATGCAATATAGTTTGAGCTTAAGGAGATGGCTCAAAACATGGAAACTCTGTGCATGATGAAAATAACATCCTCCGGTAAGCACCAATAACGACTCCAGAATTTGGAAGAAGACCAAGAGGGTATATCTCACAGTCAAATTCCAATTCAGGATCCAACTGAAAATTAATATCAAGTTACTTGACCATCTCGGATTTCATGAATCAGCTATCAGATCAGCATTATAATCCAATGAATATATTTCTACAATTAAAAAAATATCTCAACTTTAAATATGTAAGAGCATCTTCAATCCTTTACTTTTCTTTTTATCAAATTTAAGAACTCAAAAATCATCTCCATTCCTTTCATCAAAGTTCATCAAATCAATGGGGAGTCATTTTTTTTTCATCAAATTGAGAACTAATCAAAATCCTTTTTTTTTCTTTAAAGATTTTCTTTTTTCTCACCTAATTTCACACACCTTTTCCCTTTCATTTTCCAAATCCCTCCCCAAAACCCCCAACCAAACACAGCAAATTTGAACTTAATAAAAATTTAAAAAGATGATTTTTTCCATCAAATTTGATAAAAATGGAAATTTGGGATAAGAGGAGATTTTTTAGAAAGATTTTGATGAAAAGATTGGAGTAGTTCATATGAAATCAAACTTTTACTTAAATTTCGAATCAAATTAGTTGAAAATTTTGGTGAAGGGTTGGAGATGGTCTAAATGATCTAGCCCTAATGGCTATCCAATGGAAAGTCATGGACAAAGACAAAATAAAAGGCATAAACAAAAATATTGCATCAGAAACAGAGCAGTAAGCATGTAGATTTGTAAGAAGTACAAGTATTTCTACTGACACTGTCTTGAAGAAGTGAAATCATCACCTGAGATGGTGACTGATTCCGCCACCTGATGATCCGTAAAATGGACAATGATTCATGAGGGATATGGTGATAGCCCCCTCACTATCTAATTTTCCTTTCAAAATGACAAGAATTATATAAGTACTTTCAAAACTCCCTGATATTTTAAAACTTGTTTCTTTTACTATATTACCCTCATATCTATCAGCTCTCCTATTAAGCCATCTTCATTATGTATTTCTATAAAACTAAAATTTTACTCTGTATGAAAGTAAAATTTTACTCTGTATAAAAGTAAAATTTTATACTCTGAAACTAAAGTAAAATTTTACTCTGTATAAAAGTAAAATTTTACTCTGGTTCTGTCAAATGAAAAAAACAGAGCAATAGAACCAGAGTAAAATTTTACTCTGGTTCTATCAAATGAAATTAGATCATTCACAGCCACTGTTCTTCTGTTTCTTCACAGTTACTTGCCTCTTTCGTATCACCTCTTTGGCTTCTCTGTTATCTATTACATATACACAATCCATATTGCTCGCTCACGACACAAAAATTTATCAAAATCAAAAACAATTTTACAACAAAAAGTTAAGAGGACATAGTAACAACTCATCAATAGATCAATTTAAGAACTTAACAACACTATCCAAATGAAAAATCTCTCCCTCACACACACACACACACACACACACACACACACACACAATTTTTTAATCATAAATTGTTATAACTCAATAAAAAATGGCATAACATTTGTGACAAAAATACGAAACATATCGTCTCTATACTCTTTCACAATTCGAATTTTTGATCGACGAGGCTATCATCAACGGCAAGAACATGAACTTCATGAGAATTGGAAGGCGATACGTCGACGTCGTCGAAGCTTTCTCTGATCATCTCCGACGATCTCTTCCACTGCGAAACCTATGCGCCATTCAAAGAAAATTCTCTGCAACTGAGAGTGATTTAGGTATATTCACAGTTTTGGTTGAAATCACGAGAGCTTCGAACGAATCCAATCCAAACCCTAGGAATGGAAGAGAGAAGGAAAAAAGAGTGGGGAAGGTGAGGAAATTTAGTTGAGGGTATAATAGTCTAATAAAATATTTAAATAATATATTTTGTCCGTTATGCAAAATTTTATAATTATGAGGGGGTTTAGAAAATATAATTTTTTTCTTAGTCCTTTTAACAGTGAAAGGAAGGTAAAGGGGGTTTATAGCTAAATTTTCCATGATTCATCCTCTCTTTCTCGCGCCAAAACGAAAAGGAAGTCTCTCGCACCATCACCATCGTTACCCACTTGTGCTCATCTCACCATTTTGGAAACTCAGGTTCTTCTTCGCTCCCTACATTTTGCAAATCTTTAATTGCAATTATCTCTCAGTTCGGGTAATGCTAGGGACACCAAATTTTCTACCAAACAAATGATCAAAATGTCTCACATGGGTGTGGGGTCCACAATTTTGTGGGCCCCACAACCATGTGAGACATTTAGTCATTTATTTAGTAGAAAATTTGGG